AAAACATAAAATTGTAATAAATCTGGCCATAACCGTTCCGACACTTCTGGCTGAACTTGCGACTGCGAGAAAACTGCGTTTTCAACGTTCTCATTATTAAGCAGTTATTGGTTCAACTCACTAATTATGATAACGACTAAACCAATATTTCTTTTTTATTTTTATTATGACATGCGATTATCACTTTTCTCAAGTTTGTCAATGAGTTTTATTATTTTAGTAATTTATTCTTTATTTGTTCTCATCGTCATTTATTATAAATAGAATAGAGTTTTATGCCTATTATGTTGCCTGCGAAGCTTTTTAGCTTATATGGGCATTCACTTGGAAGCCTTGCAATTTAATTTCACGTTTCTTATATACTTCATTGTAATGTGCGCTCCTGAGTGAATAAATAAATCAGTCAATCAATCTCTATTTGTTACCGTTACTGGACAAGTTTTAAATTAGTATATTTTTGAACAAGTCTAGACTGGTGGTCCCGGCACCGGTTTGTAGTCCACTGAACTGTAAAATGTTCTTCTTAAGTCAGGTTGTTGCTATGAGCTAACCAACATATTACTTGAATTGTGTAATAGGGATTCTTTCTGAACATTGTTTTAGGGAATATAGAAATTAACGGCGCTAAATTTATGGGAAAAAAGAGAAATATATCGTGATGAGTTGGCCATAGATTTACTCAGGTAGCAACTGAAATAGATCAACGATACAGACAATAGGTTTAGGGTTTTTTTTTATTTTAAATTAGGCAATTAACCGGTAATTCCCTTAAATGAACTTTCACTCCATCAAAATTGACAAATTTTGATTCAACACATGCGCATTAGCTGTGCTATTTTGTTGTGCGTGTTTAATCATTTTCGTGTTAAGTAATTAACCGCTAGCCGCCTCAAATAAACTTGGATCTCAAACAAGCCCGAAATAAATGTTAATTTAAAACCTATATAGGCAGAGACTGATAACAATTTCATGCATTTTGGTTTAGTCGCTTCATAATTAGAAAATCGACAAATAACTGCCACAAATAAACTTGGATCTCAAACAATCGCAATAAATGCGTTAATTTTACACTTTTGCAGTGGCTGATATAATTCCAGGTATGTGATTTCTATTATTTCTGGAGTGAATCGCTAACAACAGCAAAACTTAGATCAGTATCCGAATCAACAAAAATTTCATTTCCACATTTTGCGTTTAGTTGCTTCTGAATTAGATAATGATTAGAACAACGAATCAAGGATGATGGATCTACAATTTGTTTGATGGATCTACAGTAAAGATGGAGCTACAATTTGTAAGAAATTTTGTAATTTTTTAACTGCAAAGTTGCAGTAATAATTAAAGGTTTGTTGGATTACACGTTTCTAAATTAAACCGGTGACTACAGCAAGTGAACTTTGATCTCCACCAAGCTCGACAAAAATGTTCACTTTAGACACTCACATGCGCTGTGTAAGTAATAATTTAAGCTAAGTTTGTTTATGCGGTAGTCATGCCGGCCGCTATGTTGGTAGCCTATGACTTCGCTGGAGGGCTTCAATGTAAAATTTTACATAATAACATATACCTATTTGCCTATTTTTACCTTATTATTAAAACAGTAGGCTTCTGACGCTGCCTAAATCAGATATTTCTTAACATACAATTAAAATGAGATAAAAGGCTTTAGTATTTGTCACGATCAAATTTATTGAAATATGTTTCGTTTTAAGTAAATATAAGAATTGCCTTAATTTATCTATATTTATATTTTCTCCGTAGAAATTATTTCTACGGTAAATCTATTGCTTATATTACAGATGTGCAAAGAACCCTAATTGTTGATCAATCTTAATTTCATTACATCTTGTATGTAATTTCTCGACTGATATTTCACGAGATTTATTAATTATATATGATACAATAATTTAGATGATTTGAAAAATCGTTCAATTTACCAGAAGTTACACTGCAGTGAAATATAACGTTTTTGTTTAGTCTCGCTGATGGCTTATTGAGGCACTTTGGCCCTCTCCTTTTGAGGGGAGCTTGTAGGGGTCCCCCATTAAGGGTCGCTTTGACCAATGCAGCCCCCAACTTTTTAGGGGTCATGGCCGGATGATGGATTCAATTTACACCGTTTTTCCATTAAGCTAACGAGCTGGCAATTGGAGGGCCCCGAGTATCTAAATTGGGGTACTGTCGTAAATATCGTTAGTGAAACTAATCAAACATGTTGACAATTCCTTCACCTCCTGCCCGAAACAAATGTTTACTTTTGGATCGAATCACACAAATGCCGATCAAGTTCAGGTTAATATAAATATTATAATACTAATAGATTAAACATTTATTTGTAATAATAATATTTAATTTTATTCGATTTAATATCATTGATATTGTAATAATTTTGTAGTTAATACAAATTAATATTGAAGCAACTGATGACTAAGCCTGGTAGTGTGAAGTACCTTTAAGGTACTCATTGAGTTTTTTCTTATTTGATTAATTCCCCATAAAAGTTATTATTGATTTAAGAAGCTGACTCGTTTGCAAAATTTCAAGCACTTGCGAGTATTGTACCTTGCTCCAGAAGCGTCATGTTAAACACAAAATTTTTATTAATTTTATAGTTGTGTTTATGTATTTTTCATTGAAATAATTGGGCTATGAATCACTGACCGCGACGCTATCTGAACAGCTGCCTGCCATATATGGCTTCTACTTCCTCGACTTACGGCAATTTCGGCTTTCTTGGCAATATTTCTTTATTTAAATACCTCATTATTAGATTTCAAAATTATTTAATACTTCATTTTAATTTTTTATTACATAATTTTGGATGCAGATTGTTTCGGCTATTGTATGAACCAAATTGCTATGCAAGTTTTACACTCGTATATAAATTTGATGTATATTTGATGTATCTACGGTCTAAGTATATTTGATGATCCTATCTACGGTAAACAGGTTTTAAAATTTAATGTGGTGCGAACGTATTATTCTATATCTGTTATGATATTATCATACTCCTATTATAATATTTTGGTACTTCCTTAACTGAACTTTAGTTGGGTTTGTAATGTAATGGGTTGTATCATGTATGTAATGTAATGGGTTGTATGAATTTCAAAAGACAATTTGTTACATTTTTCCCGTTATTAAATAATTTTATAGGCATTACTTGCTGATATAAAAAAAATATCATCATTTAACATGTGATGGGAGGTGTTCCTGTCAGGAAAATGTCCCTAGAATAAAGTTGGATGAGCATAAGCTGTAAATAAATCCGTTTAGACCATATAATTGACTCTACATTTCCGATTAAATGAGTTTTCACCGAACACGAATGTAACGTGCATTGTATAGGATTTCATCCATTTGAAAAATAATAATAACTCATAAGTATTCATATCATTAGTTTGCTCAAAGTTCAACTGAAGCATTAATTCGAACGCACGAAAATTGCAAGTAAATTCAAAACAATTTTGTTGGGAGACCAACAACAATTTTTGGAGACCAAACTAGCAACAATACTGAAAATTTGATTGGTGGAAATATTAATCTGTTAATCTTAATTTTAACCTTAAGATTGGTGGATATCTCAAGCTTGCTACAAATTTTAATATTATTTGTGTTTGCTGTAAAGACTTGGAAAGTTGGAGTTTTGTCCTAATATTTTGACAGCCACTATTACGGTTGATTATTTACTATCTAAGTTGAATCTAGAATATAAACATTATTTATTTCTCTTATCTGCAATGGATTAATTAAAAGAAAATTGTATTTTCATAATTTCACTAACATGTGCATGTCCCGTATAAACGGTGACGCATCTCAACCGATACAGGAAACTTCTGAAAGTTCTTTGGCCACATTCCACCCTCGGACCCTCACCGGCGTCCGGCGCACGCAAAATTATTAAGTTAGTCTATAAATACGTGTAAAGTGGAGATCAAACTTCTAAAAATCACAAGTGCCTTGCTGAAACTCATAACGAGATTTTTGTTCATGGTTGAACTAATATTTTTAGTTCAACCATGATTTTTGATAGAGACACAAAAAAGATCCAACTTTTAAATCAGTTTCTGCGAGAAAACTCGTTTTCTTTGAATAGAAACCAATTTTGAAGGGAAAATAAATCATTTTTTATGTCTCAACTGGCTCATGAAGACATGATTGACTGGCTCATGAACTGGCTCATATCTATATAAACAAACAATTACATCACCTATTATCTTTAATTTGTACATATAATGAGAGAAGTCTCTGGTAATCGTTATTCATAGCTCAATATCCTGCTCTGTCCGTAAAAATAATTATTCACGATAATCGGTGAATTACAAACCAGACGATTTTCTTCGAGCAACTTTTAAAAATTTCTCCATAATATCACACGAGTTTTGTACGTTAAATAGCAGAGAGAAATGTGGGTGAAGAAAAACATCGTGTCAGTTGATAAAGTCAAAATAAAATAGGACTAGGGTCATATATGAAATAATTCTAGTAACAAAGTTCATGTTAAACACTAGAATAACATCTATCTATAATCTATAGATTACTATTTTCACTTTAATGGCAATGGGTAAAGCCATTTGAACCGTAAACAATCATAAATAAATGAAAATATATATCCTTTAGAGATTCTTGTTCATCAATACGGTTTATGTCCAGTCGTCACATGACGTTTAAGAATTAAGTTAATGTGAAAGTGTTCGTAATCCCTTATCTGTACAATAAATATAACATTTTTTCCTCGAAACAGAAGCGTCTGCAATGACTAGTAAGTAGTAACTACTAGTAGTGTTAGTAGCACGTCTTCCATGAGCAGCCTTGCCTCTTCATCAAATTACTAGTGGTTGTAACACGCATTCCATAAGCCATCTCTCAACTTCATCAAATTAGTAGTGGTAGTAACACACTCTTCATGAGCCGTCTCTCATCTTCATCAAAGTAGTAGTGGTAGTAACACACTCTTCATGAGCCGTCTCTCGTCTTCATCAAAGTAGTAGTGGTAGTAACACGCCTTCCATGAGCCGTCTCTCATCTTCATCAAATTAGTAGTGGTAGTAACACGCCTTCCATGAGCCGTCTCTCATCTTCATCAAACTAGTAGTGGTAGTAACGTCTTCCATGAGCCGTCTCTCGTCTTCATCAAATTAGTAGTGGTAGTAACACACTTTCCATGAGCCGTCTCTCATCTTCATCAAATTAGTAGTGGTAGTAACACACTCTCCACGAGCAGCCTCGCTTCTTCATCAAGTCTCGGCAGAATTTCTTCCGAAGTCGACTGCCGAAGAAATCAATCTTGCGCGTGCTGAAATCCTGTGTGGGAAGAAAATTAAAACAAATTAAATAATTAAAACTTTTCATGGCGTTAGTAGCATATCTGAATGTGTATTTTTAAAAATGAATCTTTTCTGTTAATAACCGAGTTATTGGAAGATTCATTGAGCAAATAAAAACACGACAGATGCGAACTTCGATGCAGTTAATGAACAAATTTTCTAGTAACAAAATGTCAAAAAAGTGTAACAAAATGTCAAAAATTCGTTGAATTTTTTTTAATTGAAGAGTTGTAAAGTTGTACGCATTAGTACTCACATCAGGGGGATGGTCGTAAGGCAGATCATAGCCACATAATTCTGAAAAATATTCTTCCAAATTTTCCTCTTCTTCCTTCCTATCTTCTAACTCCTGCGCTCTGTCGCCATCCATGTCTGGTATGTCTTGGCTTTCCTGTCTGTCTTGTTCCTTGTTGAGGATCTCTTCGTGACCATTTTGTTCATGGCTGAAGTCGAGACAATAATTTTCATTTTCCAGGGTACAATTCTTGTGTTCCAGGGTACAATTTTTATGTTCCAGGGTACAATTCTTATGTTCCAGAGTGCACGACGTATGTGCCATTTCTTCTGATGAAACTACCGTCACACCTTCAGAAATATTATTGTTACAAGGTTCTGACACAAGGTTTCTTTCTTCGAAAATTGATGACAGCATGAGAGTGGTGCAGTCTGGAATACCCCGTACGTTTTCGAAGCTCGTGGTTTCGTTTGCACATACGTTATCGGTTATGGCGCTCCTCGGAAATTTAGTGAACGACTTCTTTTCAGCCCATCGACGTAGCCTCTTGCGTCTCCTCGTATGTTTTTTGCTGAGGAAAATATTCTCTCTAAGATCACATTCGATGTTCTGGACAAGATTATCCTTTCTTTCATCATTTCCAGTCTTTAGTTTCCAAGCATTTTTACATGCCATCTCGTCTTCTTTGGTTTTCCCTCCACATGAAACGGGGCGACTAACGAGGAAGAACTTATCATCTCCAAACGCGATGTCGGTCAGCGAGTCCCAGCATAGCTCATCTACTTCATCTACAGTATTTAAATCATCTCCCAAATCTTGCGATGTCGAATAAGATTTGTCGCTTCCACAGCTCAAGCCGTTCGCCAGAAGAACACCCTCCTGTTCTTGATCTGAGACACATTTTTCTGGGCCAGACATGCCCAAATCTTTGAACGAATGTCCGGTTTCAATTTCAAACGCCACATCTATGAGACTTTCCATGGTTATTTCACAATCTTCTGAGGCAAAGCTTTCGTCTGCACTAAAATTCAACAAAACTTCATCGAATTCACGTTGTTGGCGCAGCTCGGTGAAAGTTTCATCTTCCGTTTGCGTATCAAGGGTACCAGCGTCGAAATGCCCATCAACGAAGCTAATTATTTCTTCGTTTCCGAAAATCGAAACCTCACTGCATCCTGTATCATTTATTTCATTTTCTTCTACTATACCAGGATTAATTTGATCCTGATTGTTCTCGCGATCATTGCCACGATTGTCTTGGTTTGTTTTTATTAATTCTATATTTACAGCAAACGGTTTTAGTTCGACATCGAATTCCTCATCGGAAAAACGGTCGAAAATATCATCCTCTGTCGGCGGCGTCGATGACGAAACGATGAGCCAGCCGTCTTCTGCAAACATAAATTTCAATTTCAATAATTGAAACTTTCTATAATTTGTTTATAAGGTGAAGCATTTCTCGTCAATTTCTTTAATTCTTCGAAATTCTGCTAAGCCGGTTTTTTTATTCGTCAACAATAAAAGCTAGCAGATAACGTAAAAAATTCACCAAGATCTTTGTTAGCACACATGACGCCGGTAGCAGACGACTATGACAGATTGTAGGTATCTGATGCAATTATTAATTTACCTAAATAATAAATCAATTACACAGTCTGGTAATTGATTGATAGCGAAATCAATCACATCGGTTCAAGATTTGAACACAAAATAATTCTCTAAAGAAAATACTAACAATCACGAACATTCCAATGTACAATTAATTCCAATAATCACCCGTAAGCAATCCATAGTGAATGAGACATTAATTGGTTAGTTTAATAAGGAATTAATAAGTTAATTTTTCGCTGAGGAACTCACCGTCGTCGAGCTCAGGAGACTCGCCACCGAGCAGCTCGAACTCATCGAGGTCCACTTCGCTGAGAACCTCGAGCGATCCAAGCGGTGAAGACATCGCTCTTCTCTGACGGTCTTCTTATCAGAATTTTTCTGCCGATGTCGTTTCTGAAGAATATAATGGGAGCTAGATGTATGTTCAGAAAATAATATGTCATTGAAATTATTTTTTTTAATATTAGTATTATTGTTTTCAATGGGAGTGATCATTTAAATTATCAGAAAATTACTTTAATGAAAATTATAATACATTTTCGCTGAAAAGTAGTGGGATGCATTTCAAAAGAGTATTTTTCAGAAGAAACTAGATTAATTTGAAACATAAATGAAAATGAGCAGTGAGAAATAGAGTCTAAGGTTCTAACAGAAATCAGGACATTCCTCAAAAAAATACAGGATCATAACACTTACATTTACAAGTAATTGACGTCAGCAGCGCTACAGCCGTGCCCGTCTTACAGTGACTGCAGACGGGCGAGTGACCAGGAACGACCCGTGCACGGGCTTTTATAGGCCGAGCTTTGTGAAGGCATTTCACCACGTCTGACGTCTCAAAAATAATGGATATAGACATATAGTCGCACTTTAGGTTCTTTCAAACAATTAAAAATGGGAGCATAGGATGCTAAAATAATATTTCTCTTATTTTTTCAAGTATTAATCGTTGAAATAGTCATGGGAAAAGTTGAATTAGTGATACGTGTAGCTTTGTTGATGAAGTTGCATCATGTCTAGCAATGCTCCGCCCCTCCTCCCCAGCCCCTCCTACACCACCCTCCTCCTGCGGCCTAGCAACGCTGTTCATTTTGTACTAAAGTGTTCGCCTTTGTTTAAGGTTACAATTTTTAAATCGTGAGAACATTCATTGCAGATGTGACTAAATTGAAAGCTACTCAAGCGATTCTAAGTACTTATTTCAAATAATTATTACCAAGAAATTAATTAATCAGAAAAGGTCAACTATCAATTTATACTAAATTTGGAAAAACTAGCTTGCATGAAATCTTGATGATCTAGTTTAGCTCCGAAATATTCCATTTATTTATCCAATTTATCTCCATGTTACCCCTTCCCAAAAAAGTTGTCAAATTGAAGAATGTAGCTAAATAAATTCCATCCGCCCTTCACTCAAAGAAATAAATTATACATGTCCAAGCAGGGATGCATTTTTTGCCCTCGTATGGGTCGTCCTGGCCCAGTTTGGTTCAGCAAAAACACATACAATTGCTACGTGCAGGAAGTTTGTCACTATTTAGACAATATTACCCATTCATTCTTCTGAGCGTTTGACCTCGGAAGCATTATTACATAAATTCTCCTTATTGAATGAAGTCACTCAAATTTTGTAACGTATCTCCCCAAATCTTAATTCATCACATGAATTTGAAAAAAAAATATAAAAATATCATCACATGAATTTGAAAAGAACATAAAAAATACACAGCTGATATTTCAAGAGTATTTGAAATTTTGTAACGTACCTCCCCAAATTTTAATTCATCACATGAATTTGAACGAACCCAAAAAATACACAACTGATATTTCATAAATAAAAGACTTCAAGCGTTGAAATTTCAGGAGGTGGTGCAACTAAGCGACGGTCGCTGCACGGCTGACGCAAGGCACCTGAAGGCCTATAGGCCGTTTATTCGTGTTGCCGACTTAGCCCAAGATGTATTTTGCTATATAACAAATAAATAATAATCTTTTTCTTTCAATTAATAATTAGAGGTAATCTCCAAATTCATTCCTTATACCGACCCGAAATTCATTAACATTGATTATGCCTTAGTTATGCCGACTTAGTCCAAGATGTGTTTTGTATTATAATAAATAAATAATAATCTTTTTCTTTCAATTCAATCTCAAAATTCATTCCTTATGCCGACCCGAAATTCTTTCCCATTGCTTATGCCTTTGTTATGCCGACTTAGTCCAAGATGTGTTTTGTATTATAATAAATAAATAATAATCTTTTTCTTTCAATTCAATCTCAATTAGAGGTAATCTCCAAATTCATTCCTTATACCGACCCGAAATTCATTCCCATTGCTTATGCCTTTGTTATGCCGACTTAGTCCAAGATGTGTTTTGTATTATAATAAATAAATAATAATCTTTTTCTTTCAATTCAATCTCGAAATTTATTCCTTATGCCGACCCGAAATTCTTTCCCATTGCTCATGCCTTAGCTATGCCGACTTAGTCCAAGATGTGTTTTTCGAAATAATAAATAATAATAATAATCTATTTTTTCAATTAATAATTAGAGGTAATCTCCAAATTCATAACTTCAAGTTCAAGAACTGAAAAATTCTGTTTGAAATCAATTTAAATGATAGTATTTATTATATTAAAAAATATATCAGTGTTATATAGTGAAAATATTAGTGGAAGCAGAATCTTTATGATGGAAAACATTCACTTTTTAATGTGACGACATCGCAAGATACGAAGAAACCTTTAACGTAGATCATATTCTTTTATTAAGATATTATTATTTTGTTTTATTAAAATGCATAATATACTGTACGGAAGATCTACAGTTATAGTTAAAAGGGTTAATACGTGTAATAATATTTTATTAATCGATATCAAACATTCAGGGATGAAAAAATTAAAGGCTCAGTGGATTAATATCGTGTTTTTTTCAATTAATGGCAACTTATGTACGTCTCTTCGTACAAATTAAATCGATAAAACCTCCTAAGCCGTAGCAAGCAAAGAATAGATTGGGCAGATTAGAGTTAATTCTTGACTTACAATTTTGTTGATTCCTAAGAAAACTGAGAAATTGCTACGTGGAAAATTTATTCCAGGATAAGAAAAAAAGAATCTTCATTTCCGGAATTTGCGAAGAAAGATTATACAAATTTATTTGTATTTTGTGATACAAAGAAAGTGAATTTGCATTTCATTTGTTATTTTAAACTCTAAATCTATTAGTTTTCAAACAAAAAAGAATTTTTTTAAAAACTATTTAGAAACTGGATGCATCCATGTCCGTTTGCCCGTGATCGATGACTCATCGAACTGCAGTAATTCAGCTTCACGATATCGTCAGTAAGCGTTACAGTCACAAAAATTATCGGATCATATTGTCCAGTTCGTGACACCAGTCATGTGTGTAGTGCTAATACATCCTTTTCCCACGCCAAACTGGGTCAAAATGAGTCACACAAGGACAAGTGTATCACTATTTGAAAAATATCTTCTATTTATTTCCCTGCTGCCCCTAAGTAAAACTGGTGCTTCGATAGCACGACAATTTTTGCATATATCCAGCAATAACCGGACAGAATTGGTAACATTACCGGAAATGGGTTAGAAACCCGGACAAAATCGCGTCCGGTTGTGTAATCTAACAACGAGGACGATGTCATGGTTGAACTAGTCAACCATGGACGATGTAGTGCAAATAAATTACATCTTAGCGGCCAATATGTAGTATTATTGCTTCACGGTGATAGTTGTTGGTACGCAAACATTGTACCAAACACTCAAATTCTGGATTACAGAAAGTTTGGGAACTACATTACCAACTACCTTACCTGCGAAAAGGAAGAAATGAGTAACGAATGGTTCCACATTAGATACCTTTAATAAAATGGTTGGCGATTAGAGTCGAATTAACTATTGTTTGTATAAAACATGAATCCACGTTAACACGGGCACAATTTTGTCACCTCCATGTGCTAGTGTGATGCATGTGTGGAAGGTTAACTTTTATCCGTACTTCAGTGTCACGCCAACGCTAGATGAGGGAGTGTGTGAGTATAGTTTGCTCTCGTGACGCATCGATCAGCAACGAAAAGAACGAGCAGGAATTCTAGCTTTGTGGACGATTTAATAAGATAATTTCTTGTGAATATACGGTTTTCATTCTCATATTTACTTAATCAAAAATTTTTAGTGCATTTTATATTAATATAAATAAGATCAGGCCGAGTATAAGTTTGAGCGGGCCGAAAATTTTCCATAGTTATTCTTAAACGATTTTGTCCTTTTGTTCAATTTGCCTTCATATAGTTCAAAAATAGAACAACGAAGCATTGCAAATGAAAACATCTTGGGAATAAAATTTCCTACAAAATTAATTCAATACCTTGTGTTGATTTTCCAAACTTATTCCAAACAAACACGACGTGATGTCGTGATTGACCTGAAATCGCGCTGTAATTGACTGCTTTTAACTATAAGCGCCATTGATTGCGAGGCCATATTAAAATATGGCTAATACCATCTTTTTCGTGGATATCATTTAATGCGTAAGAAAAACTCAAATTACGAGATCAAAGTCCATCCAAAGTTCCATATCGGCATTATCATGAATAAATGCGGCCATGGTAAAGTGAATCGCTGCTGCAAGTGTTTTGTTGGCCGTGATCGCCTAGGCAACGGCCATTGCTGGCCACGCAATACTGTGCCGCTGGGTAAACCTAAGTAACCTGCCCCGACTATCGACTTCTCCAAATGGGTGGCTTAGGCTTCAATTAATCCGAGCAAATAGGTGCTTATGCTTCTAGTAATCTAAATAAATAAGTGGCTTAGGCTTCAACTAATCCGAACAAATAGGTGCTGATGCTTCAAGTATTCCAAACAAATTGGTGGCTTGGGCTTCAATTAATCCGAACAAAAATTTGTGATGTTTTTCTTCAATAGAGCACAAGTCGCTTGTATTTTTCTACAATACCTGATGTGACTTGTTACAATAAAAACGTTTGAACACTCGTCAGAAATAAACTAATTTCTGAAACTAATTTATGAGCTGAATCTAAGTGAATACGAAATATTTTTAAGCAGTCATAAGAATACATCGTTTTATCAGATGGCAAGTGGCATATTCTGAACCGTCATTGAGGGACCGAATCGCCACATTCGAACTCACGCGTGAACTCACCAGCAGACTCAAACATACAACAAAACTTTGCGCAACATCCCAGAACATTAATTCTTTAAATATAAACGGACCTGCATTATATTCACAATATAAAAATTATTTGCAAAGCCGCGATAGGGGAATTATTTCAGATTTTTACGTAATTTTCTTTAAACGAACTTAGCCTTGCCTATCTGAACCTAACCTAATTTTTCAAGTTTATTTGTAATTAAAAATGAAATGACATAAAAATATATAATAATTCCTCCTTCGACACATTGATAATAACTGGTTCTGTTCTGAATGCCAAGCACAACCGTTCCTAATTGAAGAACTTTTGATCTGGAAAGTTGCGTTCGGCGTTCGAGTTGGTGTAGTTAGTGCCGCGCGGATGAGTTCGGAGAATTTACGAGGATACAGAATATTTGTTGTCATATCTGCTCTTGTCTGAGATAAATGTAAATAAGTGAGGTACAATTAAAAGTCCTATTTTTTAGGCTGATAATTTATGTTTCTACCAATTATATACTTGGACTTATTCAAAAATTACATTTCTTTGATGTTCAAGAAGTGTGATGACTCGCTGATGGACAAAACTAATAAATGTGAATTTTCTATAATGTATGCTCCAAATATTTTTCTATTATATCTTTTCAAGTCACGCATAATTTTAAATTTTACTGGATTTTTTATAACAATTTTACAGGTGCGTAACTTACTTATACCCGGGAAACGATCGCGATCAATTAATCTGAGTCGTTATGACCTGATGGGAAGCCTGGGTGTAAAATATTACATCTTTTAATATATGCACCTGAGCACTTCATAAATGAAGCAAGGAGAGTACAAAGGATAAAAGTTTTGATCGAGATGGCAGTATTCCTTCTGGCTGCTATCGAGACTCTTTCGGCCAACGCAGACGCCGACCCATCGTCACCTGTTGCTCTATTGAATACATGCAACACCGGGAATGCTGCACATGCATCACTGGAAACCTCAGCGGTTTCATCCATTGATGAAAAAACCTCACCAAGAAACAATCGCGCTACTGGTGTAAAACTTTCAATAACTGGACAAGTTCTAACCGATGAAACTGGGCCACTTGTCAACGAATCGAATTTAATGGAAGAAATGCCCCATACCGGCGCTGTTGACAACTCCCCAGCGACGGATACCAACCAGTATCCCGACATCGATCCGCTCTCTACTGAATTGACATTGGACTTGAATAAGGAAATTCTGGGTGGGACTTATTTCTCGCTGCCCATTAATTTGACGGTATCGGCTCCCTGTTCTGTTGGTACAACCATGACATCTGCAGCAGAGGTGGGCGGTGGACTCGATGAATGCTCCCTTTCTGTGAGGTCCTCCAGCTCAACTGAAGAGGATTTCTCAATCAGTAAGTTGGGTTCTAACGTTTAGATCCACTTGGCACACGTAATTGTTTGTTCTATATTCAATTTCTCTACGTATTTTAAGCACAGAATCATAAAAAAATTAATTAATTATATAAAATTAACATTTGAAAAGTAATGAATGTGAATTTTATATAGGCTTCATATTACAATTTTCTCAGTCAAGTACGAGGTTACCTCAATATTGTCCTATTTTGGCTCATTCCACGACCGTATAACAGTCATGTCTCGGGGGAAATATCACCAGACAATTGGTACCATTTATCGTTTTTGTTACAGTTTCTTCTTTCGATGAAGAGGACCCGGATAGTTGGATGCTGGTGCCTCCCAAATCCGAAGATTCCTCCGTTGGCGAGTTCGTAGAAGAGGAAAATTTGTTCCAACAAGAAACCGAAAATGAACTTTCAATCACAAAGTATTACGAAGAAGAAGAATGCATGTCGCTTAATGAGCCTCTTTTTGTCACGCAGTACGATGAAGGACAAGAAAGTTCCGTGTTCCATGAGTCCGAGCATGAAACTTTTATGGTGAAGCACGCAAAAGAAGAAGATGGTCACATCGTAGATGAGCCAGAAGATCAATTTGACACAACATTTGAAGTTGCTGACGAGAGTATCGCATTAACAGAATTCGCCAAAGAAAATGAGCCATTGCTTTATGAGATTGAAGAAGAATCAAAGTCTGAGGAACATGATTGTTCTTATTATTATGACTCGCTGGATTTCCCTGAAGCTGACCACCAGTCTTCCTCATCCGAAAATGAAGATGATGAAAAATTAGAGGATGGAACTTCTGGAAATTCAGTTCTTTTTATTGCTTCTCAAACCTACGAAGCTCAGTCTTATGAAGCAGAGGATTTGGTAAAAGAGAGATCTTCACATCAATACCATAACAAGGTTGGCATAGGAGAATCGCTGAACGACTCCATGTCCGATTATATGGATTTGGAAGAAGAACATTTCCAAGACTGCACTGACGACTGCAGCATCGAATGGGATGGGTCAAGCACCTTGCAATGGAAGAACCGTCGTTTGTCTGAGTCCGAAGACAGCACCGGAGGTTACGAGAAATTTATTAACGACGACCAGAGCTCCGGCGACAACATAGACATGAACATCGTGGAAGAGCTTCGGCCCATGCATACCTCGAACGTCGAGTCAAATTACTCCGTGTCTGACCTTCCTATTTTGGAAGGAAACTTCTTCCAGCTGGCAGATACACCTCCGTTTGCAAAAAGGGATTCGGAGGGAAAGTGTGTTTGGCAAGGATTGATGACACCTTTTGAGATTCCTGGCGAGCGATGCGATGAACTATGCGGCATAGACGCAACAACTGATGTGCTTGCCAGTTATTTGAGTGACGTAGAGCACAGTAACTGTGACGTGGTCTTCGGAGGTGAGTCAAAGGAGGTGATATTTTACGCAATTTTGCACGAGTTATGAATATTATATAAATTTGTACACTAAATTTCATTCCTAATGTATGATGTTGAAATGGTTAAAGCCAAAATTTATTAATGTTACACATAAATACTGATGAATAAAACTATAAGGAGAACAGCAAACTTATATTTCAGTTAAACTCAAAGCACTTTTTTTGTAACAGAGCTGATGTTACAAAGTTCTACAGTGTTGTTTTGGTGCTGCCGATCGAATGTGATCTAACTGAATTTACTAGAAAATCAAAACTTATTGAAGGTCATGTTAGATAATGACATAATATTAGACTACGACTAGATGTCGGACTATGACTAAATGGCAGCCTATGACTAAATTCCAGATCATGAAAGAAAGCCAGGTTATGCCTAAATGGAATCCGGCAGCTGAATATCAGCATAAGATTGTCTATCAACTGTCGATTGATTTTTAAACAACTTAATATCAACCGATTTTGGAATCTCGGCAGCAGTTGGCTGAATTTCTCCACCTGAGTGATCATCAACCTCTGCCTATATGTCATCATTTGATTTATTGCCACCTTATGATTGAATTTTGATTAGGTTTACTCATTCAAAATTCTTCTGGAGATGTTTATGATGATATTCAAGGCAAATTAATTCTTAATAATTATATTCCTGATCTAACCAAGCGTGACATCGGCTATAAGACTTTGATATTTGGTGTGCAGCAGGAACAATTGTCTTACCAGTCTACAACAGTAGTAATTTGACTAGTATAACTAGTCAAATATGTTGAGATAATCTTGAGGAGCCAAACGACTTATGTGGGAATTTTGATCTCTGGCCACACCTGAATTATGATGTATACTTGTCTGGAAAAAATTCTGTGTTCATATGAAACATCGCTCATATCACTATTTTCATCGAGCATTTTATATTTTTTTATCAACAGACTTTGACTGTTCATTGCCGTTATCGCCTCCAATGACTCCGGATTCTTCTAACTCAAATTGCCACGCATTTCCGTACTCGACGACTATCACTCCCCCCATGTCGCCACTCAAGTGCAACTCGACGTCACCACTTCCTTCAGATGAAGATTCTTCTTCGTCACAAAATACTTCGCATTTGTTCGCTGTCCCAAACGAAGATATGTCACCGGGACTTCTGGCTGAAACTTTTTCCGAGTGTCGCCCCAAACCGAGTTCTGTTTTCGAGTGTAGCCTCAATCCGGGTTCTGGTTTCGAGTGTGGCCTCAAACCGGTAGCGGTTTCCAAATTTCGCCCCAAACCTGGACCGGTTGCCGAGTGTCGCCCCAAACCGGGACCTAGATTCGAGAGTCGTCCCCAGCAGAAGAGTGGGGACCTGCCTGACGATTGCGATCCCATGGACGACTTTCCGAACTTCGACTCGGCCTATGACTACTTCCCAGCTGTAAGTGGTTCAAGCGTAATGCAAGTGGGTCCAGCGTAATATAAGTGGGTCCAACGTAAAATAAGTGGGTCCAGCGTAATGTAAGTGGGTCCAGCGTAATGTAAGTGGGTCCAGCGTAATGTAAGTGGGTCCAGCGTAATGTAAGTGGGTCCAGCGTAATGTAAGTGGGCCTAGCGTAATATAAGTGGGTCTAGCGTATTGTAAGTGGGGCAGCGTAATGTAAGTGGGTCCAGCGTAATGTAAGTGGGTCCAGCGTAATGTAAGTGGGCCTAGAGTAATATAAGTGGGTCCAGCGTGATTTGCACATCAGAGGCTTCCCTAGGTTTTAAGGATAATGAGGGCTGAGCTTTCGAGAAAAGTACAGGATATGAGTGAACGTTAAGTTTCAGGAACAAATAACAAAATATCTAGTACAGTGTAACGACGGAACACAGGAAATACTGTACGTTTGTAGCATTTAAAAACATATTCTGTCCACATTATACTGAATTTATCAGCAATTTTCGTAAAAAAATAATCTTACTACTTTTAATAAATGCACCTAAAACTATTTAGGAGAGCTACATTCATACACGTAGAATATAGGTATTAAAAAATATAACTCAGTACTCACAGCAGTGAGTGACAGAGAGCGCATTTTCTCGTCGACGAAAACTTGTGGTCACGGATGGACGGAGAGACGGACGGACAGACAGACAGACGGACATGGCGAGCACAATACTGCATTTTTTTCCATAAATGTGAAAATGCGCTAAAAAGACATATAAATTATATGTTCAATTTTAACGAGATGTGTTAAACAAGGCTTTAAAATCTACATTCATTTATATGTCGAGGTATTAATTACAACCATATAATTTCAAATCCATTCAAATTTTCAGGTTTAATCTAAACGATATCAAATTATTGATGAATCCCTCTTGTACAGAGGATGCAGCGCGCCAGGAAGGTCGACTACCGCGGCTTTGGTACCAAGAAAACGAGACGCCAGCGCAGGATTTGGTGAAGAAAATCTGTCTACTAATCCGTTCAGTCCTACACATGATTTAGTTTTCTAGATGACACATCATTTAGGTATTGTTTGACACATTTACTGGTTATCTGGTCTAAATGACCCATGATTTGGATGATTTAGAACAGAAAATCTGTCTACTAATCCGTTCAGCTCTACACATGATTTTGTTATCGAGATGACACGTAATTTAATTGTTATTAGACACATTCATTGGTTATCTGGACCTAATGACCCATGATTTGGTTATCTGGTTTAAACGAATGCAAGCCCGTCTCCACTAAACGAGTTTAAAAAAAATATCGCCTATGAAAATCACAAGATGCTCATTAGATCTTCAACCTTTCATTTGCCGATGTACTTCACCATATAGACATCAACAAAAATAGAGATGAATATAAAATGTAGCTATCATTCCAACAGAGAGTGCACGTAACAGAGAGTGAACTCTGTTCATTTCACCAAATTGCAGCCTCTGAAATCTTGGATCTACAATCGCCTCGAATTATAAGGAAGCACTTCGTGTTTTTTCGGTACACTCTGTGCAATGAATGGCTCATTGTTTGAATTTTGATGCGCTTTTTGTTTTTATGTATCTCATCCTCACCTAGTTTGGCCCTGCAAAATGATGGATCAGTGCTACCTGCAGGAAGTGTCACTTATGTACAATTTGACCCAATAATGTTTCTGAGATAACCTTGAGTTTCTGGTTGTCGTAGAGTTACATCTGCCCTTCCTAGCATGGAAGGCGTGTAAGCAGAATGTAGCTAGAAGATACACCTTTAAAAAAGGCCAAAAAGACGTTGAATTGAATTAATCAAGTCTGGAATGTACCGCTTATGCATGTCTCCTTTAGTTAAGAGACTTGATATTTAGCTTGTGATATAGAAATTCCAAGATATTTTTTTGTATATGAAATAGAATGCGCTGAACATGTAGTAATTACACCTCTGCAGAGCAGGCCTATTATCGGATTTATTAAAAATATTTAAAATATTATCGGATACTCAGTTCTGCTAATTTTGCTTTTATGATACTGATTTATCTGCCAGGTATACTAGATTTTAAATCTTTTTCGTTTTGTGGAATCAAAGAAGGAAGCTAAAATTAAAACTGATTGAAGATTTCTAGATGGAGACCAAACTCCTACCCTGTAATATGTTCGGCGTAGGCAATTCAAACAAAAGTTTTCGTGAGATATAAAAATTCTCTCGATACTCACATTTAGACATAAGAAAAAAAACACAAATTATTTGTTGAAGAGTTATTGAACTATTTGCTCTAACTGTGATACTTACATTAAATCAAGCTGATACTATATTAACTTGGATAAATAATGTAAGAGACACGAAACGGACGGCATTGTTGCAGATTTTTTATAATAATTTAAAAAGACACCCGAAGTTATCGGATTTTATATTACATTATATGTCATAAAATTTATATACAATTTCGTCTCGTCTGCCAAAATTTCAGTAAAGCCTGATATAGGGGCTATAAATCCTGTTGGAATATTGCAGATTTCACATAATCCCCATAAAATTACCTGCTTCTGTGTAAAGATGGTTATTATTGAGTAATAATGATTGACGATATTGTGCTCCGTATATTAGTTCTATATAATTATTTATTTATTTTTTATTTATAAACAATTGGGACAAAGAACTCTAAGATTTCATTCACTGTTCATAATTAAGATGACATTGATTATTCATTTATTATTTAGTATTTATTTTTAAATAAACGAAAGTTTTATAGAATGTTATGCAGGTTATACACCAGTAGAGTGAAGTACACATAGCAAACACATGCACCATGACTCTGTGTCTGCCTACGAACTGCAGTTAATTTTTTTTAATATGAATTTCGATACACTTACAAGCTTTTTTTTAATGTGTTTAATGATTGATTTCATACATAACTTATTGTGACCGCATTTCGATAATTGTTAACATTAATTGGGAAATTTAATTGGTATTCGTAAATAATAATTCAGCTAACTGAAGGATTTACTTTTATAATCTCTGAGTAAAAAGTTCTGCATATCGTGATTATTTCGAAACTTTTGTTAACATCCCCTCGAGTGAGCATAAATTACTAAAAAAAACTTCGAGCGTTTTACTTCATCCACAAAAATATCAACTCACTTGCGCTACAGAGTTTTCAACATTTATTCATTTGTCGAGCAAGTTGAAACAATTTACTATTTATGGAATGTTTGAATATGAAGTCACATTAAATGATAATGAATTCAATAATACATGAAAAATTGGAGCAATGTTCAGTCAAAAAATCATCTATCTTCTCCCTCTTGAAGATTTTTAATCTACTGTTCATTTTCTTCCACAACTCCTGTTAGCAAGATGCATGCAGTCCAGATGGAGGAGTGAAACCATTCCAATTCTAAGTCTTTGGATGATTGAATGAAGTACCTGCTGGTGATTATGTTGATGAGAAAGAGGGGGGAGTTATGATTAACAATTCAAAACAAATTACATTTTAAAATGACCTTGAGGGCAACCAACAATGGCTTTTGTATCACCTAAACGAGTCTCTCACCAATGGCCAATCGCATTAAGAGAAAGGCACAAAATCTAAAAGAAAAATTTAAAATTCTGGTATTTTATTGAAATTTCCTAACTTAAAAAGGTATATTCCTACTCAATCAAATTTAGAACCGCCTCAGCTTCTGATTACCAAAATCAGAAGCAGCCACGCCCCTGAATTTTGTTGAGGATATACATACTTGGAGCGAATTTCGGACTAAATTCATGTGTATAGGAACAATGACTCACAACTGAATCTATTTAACTAAAAAACTATGCATTATCGCCTGCATGAATTGAGTCTGTTGTTTCGAAATTAAGGGATTTTATGTGTTCTACCACTTTGTTCGAGTGCCAACGGTCTAAATACGTTCCCAACTCTCTGGAAGGCTCGCGGAAGGGCACTATATACCTCCAACCAATCAATCAGGACCTCTATTTAGTTATTCAGTAAATCCCACCCTGCAGGCATGCTAGATTTCTCACTCCATCGTAAACATAAGGTTGCCATATTTTTAGTGTCGGTCGGATAGGTTAGGATAGTCGACAATAAATGCCGAGCCTGCCTGAGGGCTCGCGACTCTCAATCTGAGCCTTAAGGGGCGTATTGCGAGCCGCGAGACCTCGGACAGGCTTGGCTATCCTATGCGTGGGATTCATTCACTAAGTAGGTTCACCTTGACTCCACTCGAAAATGAGATAACAATTTGATTTTTCTTTGCTTATCCAACTATTCATTTTGCAATCTGAGGTCAGCAACATATAAAAGGTAAATTTTGTAATAAAACAGGTATGGCGAAGAACATTTTTGAAAAAAATTGCATATATATGTTATGAATTATGCGACTTTCGCCATTTTTTGAGATGTCACTTGCTATTAGTTTTTATTATGCGCTTATATATGTATACCGGCATATTTTTAACACCTCCTTCTTGTAGTTATATGTCACCAAAAACTAGTTTAAAACGAGTACGCTCACATGTGAAGTGAAAATACCGACTACTTCCAGTTCCGATGATGACGTTGTGGATGAAATATAATGTCACAAATGTCGTAAGTTGTTCAGCTATCACCACAAGAGGGTGTTCGAAAAGCAGACCAAGCACACCAGCAATTAAACCAAGAATAGCTACAGCCTCCAATAGTTGTACCAATGATGTTGCCACAAAGTGTTGAAATGTTTTATTGTAGGCGGAAAATTTCCTGATCAATAACGATCACAAGTATTCCCCTTCCGTGATTTGGATATAAAACATTAATACATTATCAAACTCAAAATGATCATTAATTCAAAAAGTCAATAAAATTAACCTCGACCTATATATCCTAGTAATCTAACCAAATTTAACCATAAGATTGAATTAGATTTTTCTCAATGAATTCTTATTTACGCATAATGTTCACGACTAGGAGTCTGCTTGAAATAATTAAAATAACGTTTTGAAATACCAAGCAAAAGAGTTGACCTTGTAAATAATGGTTCAACAAAATCGAGCCACGACAATTACCAGTCCTACACAAAGCCCTTGCTATCAAGAAGATAGATAAAACTACCGTGCTCTCTAAAATAGAATAGAATAGAAGTGTCGGCGCTGAAGAAATAGGCCCATGGCCTGTTGCCGATTCTTGAACTTTTCGTGACTTGATTCACAAGGGATCCGGCCTTTGGAACCCGATCTTTCCATAACTGACGATTGATTGAGATAGAAATTGCACCTCCACAGCTAAATCCCATGCACGCAATAATAAGCAATAAGTAAAGAACGCGAACTGTCGAGCTCACGTCAAAGAGTACTCAAAATTAATTGAAAAATAAAATTAAACATCATAATACTTATATGCTAAGTTACATGAAAACAATGAACTACTTGAAACTAGGAATATGAACTACTTGATACTGCAAATGGAAAATCAAATATCTAAAAATCTAACATATTAATTTAAAACGAGTAATAAATAAATGTATTATTTTATACTTGAATGTATCAGAAAAAGAAGATTCAAATATGAATAATATCTGAATTGAGTTGATAATTATATCTGAATTACATTCATTTCCGCCGCAATGTTGAAGGAATTTTTTATCAATGAAAAATATTTTTCTTCTGAACACTGAGATTAAAACTAGCTTGTTCGCCGAAATCATGATTGAGCATGAATTGTATTTCAACGTAGAGGTAAAACGATGCATATTATAGCATTACCAATGCAATTTAGCAAATCGATACTGGAATTAATACGAATGCACGGTTGCTGCGAGGTTTCGTCTGCTAATTCAAAATATTGTTTTTCTGAACACTGAGACTCAAACTCACGTGTTCGCCGAAGTCATCATTGGCATGAATCATATTTCAACGCAGAAGTGAAACGATGCAGATTATAGCATTACCAATGCAAATTAACAAGCGTGTCTGGAAGTAATGAGAGTGTACAGTTGCTACGAGGTCTAAGTATTAGTCTGAATACCAATGTCTGACGGCCTCATGTCATCATGCAAAGTCGATAATTTTGCCCTCCGTCCCTTGATTGGTTCCAGGAAGCATACATTGGATCTTTTGAATGCTATCGGGTGTGTTGAACTGATGAGGTATTGTCAGTTGCACGACGCAGCGCACCACCAAAGCAGGCAAAACTCTAAGAACTCGCAAATCAGTCTATAAAGCGTAAATCCTGCGTATGTCCACAACTCGCAACTGTAAACAACACTTTTAAACGCACAAGCCCACAACACGAAGATAGCT